ATTGAATATTCTTCACCTTACTCTGATGGCACCGGGCAGAAAAGGTATAGCAGAAACCCTGCTTCTATCTCTGGAATGAAGGAAATGTCKCTGGATTACCCTGCCCTGATTAAAGTACCTGTGAATCGAAAATKATAGTTACAGAGGGATTGGGTAGATTTTCACATTGCCTCAGGCTACAGAGGATACAAMAGCACCGCCTTTTTCCTTTCTCATAACTTCCAGTACTGCCCCAGCCACAGGATCAGAGTAATTGAGAACAAAGTCCCTGCTCCAGCGAGGTGCTCAGTGCCAGCGAGGTTAATGTCCAGGGGCAGGCTGTGGCGAGAGCAATGCCATGTTTACTGCTGTGGTTGCCGCTGCTCTGATGCCACACTCACCGGAGCTACGAACGAGGGTCTAATTTCTGATCCCCAAAAGGCAAAGGCACAGCAAGTTGGTCATTAAAACCTGCAGCAGCGTGCATGCGATTAAAATGTTAATGTCAATATTGTAATCAAGGTCTGACTCACAGGACAGCTGGTAAGAGACCTGATCTGTATTGCTTAGCCCCAGTCACCTGATGCAGACCGGGGTTACGGAACGGTTGTGCCCCATCACATGGCAGGGATTGGCATTYGCTGGCTCATGTGGCGAGCTGGAGGCTGGCTGCTGCAAAGGCACAATCACATCAAACCCAGCGCCASTATTGATAAATTCAGCTGTGCTTGCACACCAGCGAGGGGAAAGCTTTCCGATAAATTTCCTTGGGCTCACCTGAGCTGCAGCTCTGCTGCAAAGTGTGTCTCCTGCTCACCCTGGGTTCTCCTGTTCCCTGGCCTCGCTCACCCATCTCTCATTTTTGGAATTTTCTGTGCCAGCTCCTATCTGGTTGAGTTTTAGACATTCGAGCCTGTGGTAAATTTTGCCTGATGTTGTCTAAGTACCGAAAGAGCTATAGTCTGCAAAGCTTCTTTTCAGTAAATTCAGGATTAATGAAGAAGGCCTCTCTATTGTTGGAATGTCTAATACAATTATCCACTGAATGAATGGACTAGGCAGCAGTGGAGGGCTCCCAGGTTTGTGGCGGGGAATTGTCTGTTTTAACATCCATCTGTTTTCATTCCCTCTGATCCATTATCATTCACCTAGAGTTATAACATGATGAATATCATTGTGCGGAATGCCATTTGATGCTGGGGGGAAACAAAACCACTGTAGGTCTGCCTTCTATTGAAAACACAAGATTGCCTTGGTGGAAGGAAAGGCATGATTGATTCAGAGATGCTGTTTCAAGCAGAGGCATCCTTTCCCGTGTGGACTGTTTGATTTTGTTAATTCCTTTGGATGACCCTTCTGCTGCATTTTCAACAAGAAAAAAAAACATATATATATAAATGAGAATAACTGAAGGCAATCATAGTGCTGCTGGATTTGTGGAGTTAATTGAAAAAAATAATGGTATTCACAACTTTCCCCAGAAGGCACCTTTGGTTTACGTTCCCAGTGACATTAAACTCCTGCACGTAAACACGGGATGAGAATCTTGATGACCCTGCTGACAGGAAATAAAGAAAGGAACTTTACAGGCAATTTCCACTGTCCTTGTTGGTCAGCAAATTTGGAAGTGAATGAAAAAAAGAGAACTAGAAATGCATATTAATGATGGCCTATAGACCACAGGAGTGAGATGAGCACTAGCAAGAGAAACTGTTAAAAATGCCCCAGTTTATCTTTTTTAATGACTTACCCTYATGATGTACTTATAAGTAACATAGAAATTACCTTGTAAATAAAAGGACAGGCTCACCAGTGTAAAAATAACTTACTGAACTCAGTCTAAATGCTTATTKCTAGAAAGTGACCCTTAAAATACTGGTAAAGCAAATGGAGTTGTCAAACCAAACCCACTGTTTAACTGGGTGTATCTAAATTGAGACCTTTCATTAACAATCATCTCCTGGATCTTGGTTGTGCCTTTCAAATACCACACATTTTAAAAAATACTGTACTGTCACTTAATGAAACAGGAGACAAAATACCCTTTGGAAATCCACAGTCCAGCAAAACCCAGGGCAGATAACTGTCTGGCTCCCCACTAGCCTGTAATTACCCAAGGAAGCAGCTAGATTTAGCTATCTTCCTTCTTTAATTGGCACGCAAAAGATTATAGGATTTTATTAGGACACAAATGACACCGATATGAGTGTGATTGAGGCATGCGATGCATGACTGACTACTTGCATTAAGAGGCTTTGCACTACACATGGGATTTCTACCTTTGGTTTTAAATGGCTTAAATTTAAATGACGTTTCTATGCTACATTTTAAAAGGATGGTATTTATATTAGCGCTTGTCTRAGTAAGGTAGGGCAACGCTGTTGCCAGACACCAGAAACCTTTTTAAAAATCCTGTCTGGGCCAGGTGGAAGGGGGTTAATTCTTGACTGCTCTGTTGATACAAATCGAACAGGAACACACGAAAATGAAAGTAAGGCATTGAAGTGTCCACACAGAAACCTTGGGGGACAAGGTTTTCTTTTTGTAAAGACACCCAGCTGCCAGCCTGCCACTGCCGGGGACACCAGCCTGAGGAAGCCACCATCCCTGGTGACAACCRGACTGCAACACAAGTGGGAGCAGGTAGCAGGAGATTTTTTGGGTTCCCTTACTTCCACGGCTCCACTAACGCTGGATCTCCTTTGTGGATTTTTTTCCTTGTACATGAATCTCAATGGACTTATTTAGGTTTTATTTCACACCTTTCTAACGTCTCTCATATTCAGAACTAAGGCRAACCCCCAGGGAGGGTGAAAGCAGCTGAAGTAAGGAATTAAGCCGAGTCARTCCAATGGAGCAAAGCCAGCCCCACACAAGGAAGGGAGTAGCCAGAAGTGATGGTAACATGCTGCAATATCTGACGGTGTGCAATAAAAGAYGATAACAGGAGGATTAAGTCCTGCTACCATTGCGATATGTAGGACAGGAGCCCTGATGCAGGCACACCTTCCCCAGCACTGCCCTTAGGACTGGGCACCGCACAGCTGCTCAGCTGGCCACCAAGCCAGTCCTCGTCCCAAAGGAACCAAGCCTTTGTCAAGGTGATCCTGGAGAGGAGAGGGCCTGAAATTGCAGGGAAACAAGAAGGGAAAGAACCCTCATGAAACCTGAACAAGATGAATGGATGGGGAGCAGGAGCTAATGAATTGGGTCCCCTGCTTCCATCTCCATGAGTCTTAACCCCCGGTTCCCTTACACTGCTCCATGTCCCACCCACAGCTCTGGTTGCTCAGCTCTTCTGTCCTGCACCCTCATCACCAGCTCACTCCGACTGTTCCCTAACTTGTCCCTTGACCCACGGATTGCTCTCTGGCTCATCGATCAGCTCTTTCCGCATCTCTCAGCCCTTCCTGTGTCCCCCAAGTTGTCCCGAACCCCCAGCTGATCCCTCAGCTGTCCCTGGGTTCAGCGTCTAGCCCTCAACTCACCCCGCAGCTCGTTCCCTGTCCCTGGCTCGCCCCCCGACCCCCAGCTCGCTCCTCGCCCCTGGGCTCATGGTTTGACCCCCASACCATCCTGCAGCTCCCCCCGTTCGCCGCGGACCGTCCCCTGTCCCCTCCGTCCCCTCCGCTCGCCCCTCCAGCCCCTCTCCCTCCCAGTCCCGGGGCTCCCCCGACCCCGSCGGCCGCGGGGCTGGAGCCGGGCCGGGGCAAACTTTTCCCGAGGGCTGGGGCGGGCGCCGGCGCCCCCGGCCCGCGCTGAGGGGAGGCGAGGCGAGGCGGCGGCGGGGCGGGAAGGAGGAGGAGGAAGGGGGGGGGCCGGGGGCACGGCCGGGCCTGCGCCGGGGAATGACGCGCAGCTGGCAGCCCTGCTCATGCGCGGCCGGCCGGGCGGTGCTAGCGCCGCGTCCCAGCTCGGGGAGAATGGGGCGGCATCCGGGCAGCGCCGACTGAGCGGCTTCTGGGGGCCGGGGCTGCGCCGCGCCGCGGGCGGCC